CCCCAAAGCTTTTTTCTTATTCAAAAGAAGACCTTAACCTAAAGTATTCTTTAATGTTTAAATAAAGCCTTATTAGATTGTCTGTTTTGCATATCCTCCTATTAATATCTAATAATACAATTATAAAATGCAATAACGTGCTTCAACCAGTAGGTGTCCCGTTATATCAGCTGTGCACCGTTATGGCGTAAATACAGCCTATCTACCAATTGGATCAAATATAAAAGTCAGCCGAATTAGTATTGATACTGCAAGGAGACGTATTGTGTGAAAAGAAATGTAAGACGTTGTTTAATTGCTTATATATTTAAGATCCACGTCAAGTTTTCAGTTTTGGCGGCAGTTCCTGTTTGTCTAGAAGTCTTGTCATCAGGGCTCTATAAATAGAGTTAACTACGGTAGATATGTCATATTTAATGCAGCCGAAACGTGTATTACAATGCCGTTATGTGATGACTTTCAAAGAGAAAAGCAAGCACACTCGGAATAATGTATTATTTAATTGTTTTATACAGTCTATGGTTGCTACAGAGGATTGTGGGTAATGTAATGTCTTCGGCCATCCAAAACTCATAGAAAACGACTTGTTTCTCAGAATTGAAGGGGAAAACGTGACAAAAGCATTGTACACACACTAAAACCTATCAATGTCGTTTAATTAACAAAGATAATCTGGTGTTTTTGAGTTGATGAGTAGTGGAGATATCACTGTCAAATCAATCGACAGTAAGGGGAATACTTACTTCCGGGTGTACAATTCTCCGTTATCCAATGGGAATGGACGCTCACATTGCCTTTAACAGCCTCCGACACAAACAAATGCTGTGCTTCCCTAAGCGTCAAATACCGCCGCCGATGGGAATACATTGCAATCAGTTGAAAGCTCTTTGCGTCCGTTTATGAAGCTGAAGGAGCCTCGGCGTGTCACAACTGGACGCCACGGGACCCTGACCAAGCGTCGCTCCTGGACGCTTAGGGAGTGAGAGTGTGTTGATCTGGGAGGGACTCAGAGCCGCTGCTCCTTTATGTAGAAAGGAGCCAGTTTAGTCGGTTTTGGCAACTGATAAAGATGCCACCTGACCACTTTCCTAGAGAGGTGTTTCAGGCACATCCAGCTGGGAGGAGGCCAAGACTAGGTGGAGGGATTATATTTCTACGCTGGCCAGGGAGCGCCTTGGAATCACAAACCAGTCATACCTATTGTTTTATTATTCTATTGGTCTAGCTTTAAATACAGCAACGTTGGGGTCCACCACTATTGAGCAGTTTATTAAATGCTAAAGGTACTGTATAAATGTTTAGCAAGAAATCACTGTTGTCGAAGGTATGATATGAGAGTTGAAATGTGTGACCTAATTAAGCTCAGATGCTGTGAAACAGAGAAAGGTCAACTTTGATTTCAAACCTTGAGAAACGGCACCCTCTTGTGGCTGGTAAACAGTGGTGGAAGAAGAAAGGGAACATATTACTGTAAGGCCTACATTTATCATTTTGATTCAAGAAAATATTACAATAGCATTATTAACTAAATGTACTAGAAGTACCAACAACGCCCATTAGGTGACATAATGACCCTGTGTGAGTGGTATGTTATCTTTTTTAGTTTGTATTGTGTGCTAGTAGTATAAGTAGCATTGTACATTGTAAAGATTTGAATTTTGCTCCCAAACAAAAGGCAAGTCCCCGCAAGTGAATGTATACTCATGGGCCCCACAACATCACTAATACAGGGACATAAACTGATTTTAAATTAATTAAACCACAGATTGAGTTACAACATTTTATTGACATTCTTGAGTTTAATTACATCAAGTTTTGTTAATACATTTTGGTTCTGACGTGTCTGAAACAAGTTGAAAATATTTTTCACTTTTAGATAAATGCTCTTCTCTAAAAAGTTAAACATTTTTCCTCAAACCCTTATCGTGTTTAAAACAAAGGTAATCAGTTCCAAGATAACTTATCCCTTTAATACATATGTTGATGCAAACTGCTTGGCTATGTTTTCAGAAGAATTGTCATGCTACAAACAAATGTATTTACCACATTTTCCTTAAAGTTCCTCTCCAACGCTGTAGTGATTGGTTGTCCAAACCAAATAAAAAGTTCAACTATTGTTGAGATTATTAAGTAGTTTGGGGGTATTTCTGGATACAAAGGTCAATAATGGAAAATCCTTAAAGTTACCACAATTTAAAATGCTCAGATTTAGCACACATTCATTTCCAGTTTGCTTTTAATGGGTTCAGGCATTATTTCTTTTTTTCAATTACATGAAACAATTTTATTTAGATCCAGTTGTGAATAATACTGTGATTTCTTATAAGATAGACCCTTAAAACTCACTTTTAAAACTTTTATTAAACAACAAAAGCACATAACACACTGAAGTCAACATTCTTTTATTATGAGACATTATTGATAACTATGTTTGTCTTTACACATTCATTTGAGTTCCAACCTTTTCATATTGAATTAAAAAATCCATTACATATGTAGATTTTAACCTTTTATTTTACAAAACCCAACATTGACATTACGCCTTCAGTTATTGTGGAAAGAAGAAAGTAAACGTATCCGTAACCATTTTAAAAGCATTAATTCATGATGTATATATATTTATCTTTTTTCTTGTAAAAGCAAAAACAATCAAAGAACACATTAGTTTACAGTTCATTACTATAGTTTAGAATGTTAACATCTTGGTTGTTGACGATCTGTCACCCTGTTAGTATTTAATTAACTCACCACTGAAATAACTGATATTACTATAAATCACATCAAACAACAAAATCAAAAAGGGGACTTTGAAGATTAACAAGGAGTTAACAGAGGGTCAGGCTGTATCATGGAAACCAGTGCGACTGTTATATGATCTCAACGCAGAAGTGATGGTTTTCCAACCTTTTTTCACAGCGGTCCAAATGATTGCAATTATTTTAAGGTCGTCCTCAGCTTCCTTCCTGGCTTTCTTTTCCTCCTTTTCTCTTATTCTCATCGTCTCCTCCTCTATTTCTCTTTTGCTAGCTTCTCTCAGCCTTTCCTCCTCCATTTCTCTTTTGCTAGCTTCTCTCAGCCTTTCCTCCTCCATTTCTCTTTTTCTAGCTTCTCTCAGCCTTTCCTCATTTTCTCTTATTCTCCTCTCCTCCTCCATTTCTATTTTGCCAGCTGCTTTTAGCTTTTCCTCCTCTTCTCTCATTGTCCTCATCTCCTCCTCCATTTCTCTTTCATGAGCTTCCATCTGCCTTTCTGACCTCTCCCTATCCTCTTTGATTTTTTGTAATTGTTCCTCATACTTCGTATCTAATCTCTTTTTTAATTCCTCTTCCTGTTTGCGTAGTTCCTCTGCTCTGTCTTTAAGGATTCTCTGTTTTTCCTCTTCTATGGCCCTCTCTGCCTCCTGGAACATGTCAGTGGTGTAATGGCTTCCTCCGTTCTTCTCTGTTATCTTTCTGATCTTGTCGAGCAGCTCTCTGACCTGAGAACGATCCTTCAACTTATTATTGAAGACGTGGCACTGGCCGTTACATCTGTTCACAAGTTCCTGCAGCTCTTTGCTACCCTTCAAGACCTCTTCAATAGGTTGGTCTTCGAGCAGGTCGCCGTGGGTAAAGAGGACCATGCTGTATCTGTCTGCTTGCTCTCCAAATATTTCCTGAATCTTCTGCACTGTCTGCTTTTCTTCATCTGTGAATCTGCCCAGTCTGATGACGACCAGGAAGATATGGGGTCCAGGACAAGCATAAGAAATGCTCTTACCAACGCTCTTTCTGGTCTTCTCTTCATCAATCTTGGTGTCAAACAGACCAGGAGTGTCAATAACCTTAACTCTTTGTCCATCAACCCCACCAAAGGCATTAGAACAGTTTACAGTCAAGGATTTAACAGAGAACTTTGATTCAAAGTGTTTTTTTCCCAGAATGGTGTTTCCTGTGGCGCTCTTCCCAGCTCCGGTCCTCCCCACCATCACAATCCGGAGTACCTCGTTATTGTACGTGTTTGATTCTGATGGGAGGTCTGAAAACAATTAAGAAATATTTAGCAATCTCTGTATTTATAAAATGGTTCAACTACCAAATGAACAATGTTGACAGTGAGGGGGGTGGGCTCAAGATGGTTTAAATAATCTAGAATATGTCTAGAAGCTATCATTCAATTGATGTTTTTCATGTATTCCTGTAGATGCTATTGGCACCATAGAAAGCATTTATTATGTGAATGGCAGGTTTGGTGATAAAGGTAGTGGGTCTGTCAATGTCAAGTGATGCACCTTGAAGGGACCTTGTTTTTTCTTTTACCGGAGCAAGAGAGAGGCACCATGATGAACACAAATACTGGAAATTAAAATCACACTAAATGTACCTCTTAATTGTGTACAACCTGAACTGAAATGATGCAGCAGTGGCCTCTAGCTTTACGTTTATTTGAATAAGATTTTTTTTTTACAAATAGTCCTTACAACATGTTTAGTTTCTATCTTTCATACTTCTACAAATTACCCCATTTTGGGCCTAAACAAACTTTGAAGGGTATAAGTTGCCTTTAGTTATAATCAGGAGCCCAAAGAAACTTCTGACTGGCTACCCCTAAATATGTAGTCTTGTGAAGAATGTAATACAAGTAAGAAAAAGCAGTGTCGCATTCTCGAAATCATCCAGGCTCTTAAAATGCTTTGAATTTAAGAAATATTAATTTTGTATGAAGTGTTTTGATCTGTTCATTATTAGGAAATAGATGTGTGATCATGGACGGTGCCTCATATTGCGGAGGGAGCCGCTGCGACACAGAGGGCCTCATCATATAACTTTGCGTGGGACCACAAGTTGTCCAGGGGCGGCCCTGCACTATCATCTCTTGGAGGTGATCGATCTCCTCCTCTTGACTCTCAATAAACTCCTGAACAGTCATCTTTTCTTTTGCAGCTTTATTGTACTTGACTTTAAGCTCTTCCAGAGTCTGGCTCACTTTGACTTGAGGAATTACAGAATTGATCCTCTTACCTTTACTTTTGAGGTCACGTTTTGTTGTGCGGACATTAACAGCGATGCTTTCTTTGCTTCTTCCAGCTGCACCACAATCACACCTGACCCTGACAGCGTATTCTGTCTCTGGCTGAAGTCCTGAAATGATCGCCTTCTCAGCTCGCTCCATCATTTGTTCCCAGTGGAGATCTTCCTCTTTCACCTGTTGGTCTGGTTTGGCGTACTCCACGATGTAGCGCGAAACGTGGACATCTTTTCCGAGCTCAGCAGGTTTCTCCCAGCTGACTGATATCTCACTTGAGGTAGATTCAACGTTGGGTTTTCCAGGAGGGCTGCAGGGTAAGGTTTTAATGGATCCACTGACTTCATTGGCTGGCCCGGCACCTACTGGTGTCTCTGCCCTGCATCTGAACATGTACTCTGTGTTAGGACTCAGGTCGCTCACTGTGACTTCTTCAGCTTTGGATGCTGTCTTTTGTTTCCAGTCCTCTCCACTGACACAGTACTCAACAGAGTAGGAGGTGATGTCCTCTGCTCCAAATCTGGGTGGAGAAATGTTCAGCGTCACACTGTTGTGGTTTATATCACTTCCTGTTACTGTTGCAGGCTTTGAAGGCGGCTCAAAGTTCTCATTGACAGAAAGGCCGTCTGTATAAAGGTAGATGCTGGCACCTTTCTGTGTCTCGTTTGTTAAACCCACCGTCAGAAATGTGATGTTCTTGTTCTCCTTGTTGGCCTCTGCAAAATCACTGAAGAGCTTTGCTTTGTTTCTCAATGTTTCTGCTACTTTGATTGTCAGGTACCATTGTTCCTTTCCTAAATCTGGAGTGTGTGGATCTTGAACATCGTCTGGTTTGGGTGTTTGTTTAAGGTAGTTTGATAAAGTTGAGAGGTACGGTTCATCACTTCCCAGCGAGGTGAAGACAAAACACACAGCATGCTCTGCATTGAGAATTTCTTCATGAAGATCATTTTCGCGTGGAACGATCTGGGTGTTTTTCATCCTGTTGGTGTACGACTTTAAAATGGATATTTCTCTCTCCTTGCAGTCCATCCACTCGTTCAGGTCCTTGCTGCTGAAAGGAGAAGAACATGTCTTACTCAGGATCTCTGCGAGCACAGCTTCTTCTTCTCCTCCTCCTCGGATTGATGGAAGTTTCTTTGCCAGGGTTTGTTGGAATTCCAGTTTGAACTGAGAGCACTTCTGTTTAAAGGTTTTGAGTTTTTTTCCAATCTGTGGGAACTGCTGTGCAGTTTGGGTTCTCAGTGCATCATTGAACCTCATTTCCAGGTCACTGAAGTCCTCTAGGACACTCTGACATTCTTCAACTAATCCTATACTTATCTGACGGACAAGTTTAGCGGCAGTAGAATCTAAAAATGTCAGAGGTAACAGCCAGACCTTCACTGGTACTGCGTTTTCCCCGTTGGCTCCCAGCAGCTTTGGCAGACTTTGGTACACCTCTACTGCCTCCTGAAAGGATGTTGGAGGTTTCTGAATAAAAAAGTCTCCAAAGAATCTGCAGGACAGTTTCTCAACATTTGCTTTGTCCTTGTCTTCCATTTTCAGCGAGCCTTCACCCTCTATTGAAAGGGAGGGAATGTTCTTGATCATCACCTTCAAGTTGCCCTGAATGTCTTGATGGTTCTCGTTGACAGACACCTCACGGTCAAAGACAAAGAAGGCTTGAGCCCCATAAAGGATACCTGTGACTACATGTGTTGCTATTCCTTTTTCAAACACATATGGATGCTTAACATTATCTCTTCCAAGCTGATCCATGGACAGTTCATGGAACTTTGTGGTAGCTTGGTAATTCAGTGTTACACTGGCATGATTTTTGGAAGTCTTACTATCGTTCAGGTATTTGGCTGATCCACCAACCTGTACCAGTCCACCCAAGAAACTTGCCTTCAGTGATGCTTCAACATTTAGTGCTGAAGATTTGTCCTCAATTGATTCAGATGCAACTATATTACAATCATTATAGTGCTGTGGTCTTTCTCCAACATCATTTTTAAGGTCCTCACGGTCCCACAAAGTCATTCCTGAAAAAGAAGAAGCAAAAATCAAGCTCCCACAACCAGAAACTACAAACTGACCTTATAGTCTAGTTGTCAGCAGTTTTATGATAAACATGTATAGTAGGGTCTCCAGCACAAAGAAACGGCCGGATGCTAATTGACATATGTTGGGATATTTGTCAAATTAGCATAAATTGTGTCCTTTGAAATTAATTGGATTATAGTTTATGCAGACATTTGTAAAAGAAAATGACTTGGCCGATTAGAACAATTTGGGCTTTGGGGGTTATTAAGGGTGCCGAGTCAATTTCTTACATTTTCAGAAGAAAAAAATGACCACTATGGCTACTGGCCACGCCCCTTTGGAGCTGCTACTGACCACACCCCTTTGGAGCGCCCGCATGCAAGCAGTGAGCTCTGTGAAGAGAAGGCTGTCTTCCAGCAGATACTCAGCTAAATGCTGCCGTGATTAAACTCCATATCATGTTCCAAACCACATCAAGCATTCTCTCTGAAACAGTATGGAGCTCAAACTCTTTCTCTCTCTCAGGTTTACCACAAGGTGAGTTATTTTTTATTTCCTGCTTCTTTACACATACTCTCTCCAGTACAGGTTAGCTCTGAGTGTTAGCATGCTAATGTAAACACAGACCATATTACTTCCAGAACACGTCTCATTGTTTCTGACAGCAACGTTTCTGATTTGCCCATGGGTGTAAAGCCCGCCCACATTTTAGTAATGTCGTCATGACGCAGCAAATCTGGATCAGCTCCGTTGTACCCCCGTTTTTAGAGATGTGGGTACGGAGGAAAAGAGAGAGGGGTTTATTTCCTGACACTTTGTGAGTCTCCTGACACACCGGACACACACCAGGGACACACCGGGGACACATGTTGATGTAGAAAAGACATTAAAAAGTGCATTTTGCACAACAGGTGACCTTTAAAGGTGGGGTAGGTAAGTTTGAGAAACCGGCTCGAGATACACTTTCTGTTATATTCCATGGAATGCTCTTAACATCCCGATAGCAATGAATATCTGAAGTGCTTTGACAAAAAATCCATAAAAAAATGTCATCTGTGGAAGCCGTAGTACTGTAAGAATTTGAAAATACACAGCCGGAGAAAATCTGCCACTTCCTCACAGAGCCCCTCCTCCAACACACACGAACGCGCACATGACCAATGAGGGCACGAGATAAGTTTGTGCACAGATGGAAGGCTGACAGGCAGGTAGGCCATCCAGTTATTTTAGCCGGGCCGGCTCAGATGATTGGTCGTGCTTTTTACAGTACTACGGCTTCCACAGATGACTTTTTTTAATGGATTTTTTGTCAAAGCACTTCAGATATTCATTGCTATCGGGATGTTAAGAGCATTCCATGGAATATAACAGAAAGTGTATCTCGAGCCGGTTTCTCAAACTTACCTACCCCATCTTTAACATAAGCTTGTGATTGTCCCTCACATACGTTAGCTAACGTTAGCTTAAGTACATCAACTGACAGTAACACGCTAATGTTAGCGTGTTACTGTCACTAGCTAACATTAGCTTTATAACATGTTGTTATATCTCTCACAGGCTCCACCCTCTACTGGGCTGTATGGGTACTACCTTATCCTGCGAGCATTCTCCCACTGAGACTTTAGACATAGCCGGCCTTGGGGCGGGCCTACCTGAATGCGTGCGCATCTCACCGTATAAAAGGAGGCCTCGCCTCCTGACTATCATCCTTTTCTCTTCAGCAGCGGAAGTGAATCCACTGAGCTTTTGAGACGAGAGAAAAGAGAGTAAAATGGAGTCAATTCTCGACCACAGGACCTGCCCGAAATGCCCGAACCTGATCGCGGGGGCTGATCCGCACCCCTTCTGCTTCTCCTGCATGGGGCCCGACCACTCCGTGAGCGGTATGGGCCCGGCACCGGCCTGCCATATGATTCCGCGGCTCACGCGTCAGCATCGTGGGGAGCATTTCCTGAAGAGAGATGCCCTGCAGGAGGAGCCAGATCACCCCTCAGGCAGACGCCCCCGCCCTCCCGCAGGTAGACGGGAGCGAATATCCGGACCGCGCTATTGGTCAGATGAATAATCTGATTCATGGCGTGGCCACCGCAGAAGGGCGGGTGATTTCCTTGGCCACAGTGGCGTCTCGTCACGTGTGGTTAGGACTCACTGCCCTATCCAAAAAGGACCGAGAAGATCTCCTCGGAGCCCCCGTGTCCACGGAGGGGCTCTTTGGATCTCCTCGGTCACCCAGCGCTTCAGCCGCCTGGAGGAGGAGAGAGTCCAGCTTAGCCGCATGCTACCGATGGCCCCTCCTCAGGCCCCACAATGCGCTCCTCCGCGGGTTTCCCTGCAGGCGAGGGAGCGCAGTGCGACAATGAAACGGAGGGAGAAGCGCCGGCACGGGCGGAGAGATTCTCTCCCCCCGGGACGCGAGGGCGAATCCCGCCTCCTCCCTATTTGATGCACAGATTAAATTGAAATATTTTCAAAATAAAGAAAAAGTTGATCTGTATCCAAGTTTAAGTGTCCGTTGTTTCCACAATGCTACACTTACACATGATGATGACTGTACAGATTCCCCACTCACTGTTATGTGGAGCGCACGGCTGCCCTTAGACCAGTGGTTCTCAACCCTTTTCTGTCATTCCCCACTTTGAACAGGTGGGGCTTGAAAAGGCCCACCTGTTCCTCATCGCTACAATAAAATGGTAGGCCAAGCCTAAAATGGTCAAATGTATCGTTATATAACAGGGGTCTCCAACCTTTTTTAGGGTGAGGGCTACTTTAAAAAAATAAAACAAGTCGTGAGTTACTTTTACTCCTCTTTTTAAATGTTTTTTGCAGTGTAGCACATTTTAACATTATGATATGCTGACCTTTAACCTTTGTGTGCTGTTTGGGTCTGTGGGACCCGTTTTCAGTGTTTACTAAAAGCACATGTATGCAATTTAATTATTTTAACCTGCTTTATTTGGGGGGGGACCTCACCTCCTCTAGGGGGGTCCTCACCTCGTCTAGGGGGGACCTCATCTCCTCTAGCGGGGTCCTCACCTCCTCTAGGGGGGACCTCACCTCCTCTAGGGGGGTCCTCACCTCCTCTAGGAGGGTCCTCACCTCCTCCAGGGGGGACCTCACCTCCTCTAGGGTGGACCTCACATCCTCTAGGGGGGTCCTCACCTCCTCCAGGGTGGACCTCACATCCTCTAGGGGGGACCTCACATCCTCTAGGGGGGACCTCACCTCCTCCAGGGTGGACCTCACCTCCTCCAGGGGGGACCTCACCTCCTCTAGGGGGGACCTCACCTCCTCTAGGGGGGACCTCACATCCTCTAGGGGGGTCCTCGCCTCCTCTAGGGGGGACCTCACCTCCTCTAGGGGGGACCTCACATCGTCTAGGGGGGTCCTCGCCTCCTCTAGGGGGGAATATTACAGTTATTATTAACTTTGTCTGTACAAAGTAGCCTGTCCAGGAAATATGCCCAAATCCACAAAAACTGCGAGCCGGCAGGCAAGACGCTCCGCTTCTGAAACGCGCCTGGTAGGGTATGACGCCGGAGGAGGCCGGACCAAAACCGCGGCGCAGCCATAACGCGGCGCAGACGGACCCGGTGGAATCGAGGGGTTAGGGACTCAGGGAGTTAGGTGCACAGTGAGCCCATACAGGGTTAGGGGTTCTCCCCATCTGCCTAGGGGCGGAGGGGGGGGGGGGCCCAGCACTGTTTTTTGAGCACACTTTCTGCGGGGTAAGCGCAGCAGGGTGTGCTCTGTCAGCCGCAGCCCAGATTTCTCCACGGTCACAACCGGGTTAAAGGAGAATGTGGGGCAGCAGCTGCTGACCAGAAAAGCCGGTCAGGGGCAGTAGGGTGGAATGCTATTGTTGGACGACAGTGCGCGTATACATCAGGGCTCCACCCACTGTACCCATAGAGTCCAGTAGAGGGCGGAGTCTGTGAGAGATATAACGCTGGGTTACGCATTGTAACCCTTGTTATATAAACACAGGCGGAGCCCTCTACTCAGGGCACTGTCTGTCCTATTCCGCTCGCTGAAGAGAGGTGTAGGATGATAGTCAGGAGGCAAGGCCTCCTTTTATACGGTGTGATGCGCGCGCATTCAGGTAAGCCCGCCCTAGGCCGGCTACGTCTATAGAAGTCTCAGTGGGAGAATGCTCGCAGGATAAGGTAGCACCCATAGAGTCCAGTAGAGGGCTCCGTCTGTGTTAATATAACAAGGGTTACAATACGTAACCCAGCTTTATGTTCTCTCCACTATGACGGACACTTTTAATTGTGTCACACTTTTCTTTGTGTTAATATTTCAGGTTTTGGCAGCATATGGGCAGCTTTGTGAGGGAGACATTATCTGGATGGTACCTTCCAGACAGGTTCTACCATAAGTTAGAAAGCCTAATAGTGTGGGGTTATGGCCTATTAGCACAGACTGAGAGTGATGGTGACCTGTCTCACAGGGGATAATTGAGAGTCAGGGCCTGATCTTAGCCCATAATGAGGGCTGTGGCAGTGAACCGTCCCAGAGGAGAAACATGAGAGACGGGATGATGGTAGTAGAGGTATGTGAGTTCTCACCAGGGACGAGTGAGTCGTTGCGGCAGTCGTACAACATCCCGAGGCTGAAAGGCCGTCCGAGCGCCGCCACCTCCATCGTCCCACTGCCTTCAGAGTCCATCGCTTCGAACGAACTAAAAATAATCGACAACAGCTCGTTAGTTGACTTCAATGATTTGGTAATATCATGACCAACCACCCTAATATGGAACATTTCAATCAGACCTTTCCTCTCAACAAAGAGACGCACAAAAGGACTCAATGAAACGAAAGTGACACAAACACACTGGAAAGGGAAAAAGGACTACAAAGCAACATTTACACTGCAGTGTGTTAATTAATAAATGTATCTATTTATTCCACACGCTCCTGCATTACTTCACACTACAAACCAGACAACATGTAATCAACATGTTGTCGAGTGCAGAGGTTGTTTCCTTACCTGCAGATCTGTGAAGGAAAAAAACAAATACACTGAAAATCTGAATCTTTGATTAAATGTATTATGTCATCAGATTCAACATAACTGTATTAGGTTAGTTGACAGCAATACGTTTAAATGTAAATAAAAACCCTAACTAAATACAGTTATGTGGAATCTGTTGACATAATACATTTAACTCAAAAACATTTCAGTGCATCTTGATAGGGTGAAAAGAAAAGGTTTAACTGTGTGAGAGGCAGGGTGTTATCCGTCATTTACACAAGCAGTACAAATTGAGGGAACAATATTAACAATTTTATAATGTGATATATGTAAGAAGAAACTACTATTGTGGCAATCTTTTTGTAAAATGTGTACTTTTTGCTGATCATCCTTCTCTACTTTAACTTTAAATTTCTACTTATTTTTTTTGATATTGTTTATATTTGATAAACTATTTTTCATTTGTAATTGTTCATAGTTAACTCTATTGCAAATAAAGAACAGGGGGAGGGGGGGGAAATAAAGAACAGGGGGAGGGGGCGGGAAATAAAGAACAGGAAAAAAACTCCAAAAGAGACTCCTCAGAAGCTTCTGTGTTCTTACAGTCTGTTAAAGCTCAGATGCATCTTTTCACTGAGCAGGAATGTTTTCGTTTGAAGGTCCTGAAAATGAAGTTACAGCGAGAGATTTTAGATGAAGAGGAAAAGGACATGTACGGCACTTAGCAGGGGCGTCGCCTGGACCTGAAAACATTCGGGGCTTAGCCCACAGTGGCGGCGGCACTACAGTGGCATTTTTTACTGCAACACTCCCCACGCACACACACAGTACACCCGCGACTGTTACAATGAAGGCTCGATAATCAGCTCACGGCATATAGGCAGGGTTAAAGTGGTATTTTTTATGAGTGGGGTCTCACCTCCTCTAGGGGGGTCCGGGGGGATGCTCCCCCGGGAAGATTTTTTTTAAATATTGAAGTTAAATGCATCAATCTGGTGCACTTTGAGAGCAACATGAAGAGATCTATGGATACCTCTCTCAACACCCATATGAAGCAGAACTGTAAACAGATGTACTTTTTCTTTATGGATATTTTACTAATCACTCCCCTTTTAAACTCTATTCTTGTTTTACTGCCATATAGTATTTCATAACTGTTTTTCCTTTATTCTCTTTTTTTTTAATAACTATAATGATCATATGAAGGTGTGCCGCGGAAATAATCTTTTGAATAATTTGTGACCAAACCGTTTGAGACCCACTGAGATAACTTAGACTAAAGTTATGTATCTAAACACTCAGAGAGTCCTTTAGCTCACCTGAGTCTCTCAGTCTGAGAGGAGAGGACTCTCCTCCAGCTTGTTGTGGAACAAACAGCTCCTTATGTCCGTTAGTGCAGCTAGCTAACCAGATGCTAACAACACGGTCCATGCTGACACCGGTCCCTCCATCCCCCTCTCTCCCTATCACACTAAATGCGCTATTGCCACACACACACACAAAGCCGAGCTTGAATGACACAAGCACACGTTTATTTCCATGCAACTCTCTGATTAGTCTGGTGTCATGCCTCTGTTGAGTTCAGTTTTTAAACGAGCTCAGCGCTGTTTTAAGTGAGTATGAACCAGAAGAGGTTTTATTTTTAGGGGGAGATTTTAACTGCACACAGAACGACGAGTTAGATAGGAACCATAGGGAACCTCATGCTGCATCCAAAAGAGCCATGACGCAGTTAGTAGCAGCACATAGTCTATCACAGGGCTTCTCAAACTCCGGACCAAGGTCCGGATCCGGACCGAACTGCAAATCAATCCGGACCGAACCCTGTGTCCCATTATATACAAAAAATCTGATTCTGATAAATTAATGTACATCATTATGTACGCGCGTCTTGTGTCTGACACGTAGTGAGAATGAACGTGCATATATATTTACTTGTGTGCGTGAGCGTGAGTTAACCGCAAGTTTACCTTGACTTTTTAATGCTTCTAATGCATTTTTTGCCGAGGTTCAAGGCATTGACTACAGACAAACAGCCAAGCCACCATACTGTATGTATGTATTGAATGTGTGAGTATATAAAGGGGCGCCGTTTGCCGACAGGCAAGGCAGGCAAGTGCTTGGACCAGAAGGGGGCCCCCAAAGAAGGTAGATTAAGAAGGTCCACAGCAACGACAACATGGAACACCCTTTCATTTACTGCAACGACATGTCGGGAAACCCCATGCATAGCGCGCCATAAGAAACTGCTTCTTAATTTCAATTTCAGTTTCGTTTCGGGGGGGGGGGGTGACTTTACTGGCATTGATCCGGACCAGTGACCTTGTATAAAGTTCACAAGTGGACCTTTAATAAAAAAGTTTGAGTACCCCTGGTCTATCAGACATATGGAGAGAGCATCACACACATCACAGACAGTACACATGGGTCCACTCTAGGGAGAACCTTTTATCAATGGCTAGGCTAGACAGGTTTGATTGTTTTAAGCACCATTTTAAAGCTCGGTTGGATGCTACTGAATCGGAAGCTGTTGGTACCTGTGCATGTGGATAGTATGTAAATTGTAATCCCTGTAATGCTACTGTATGATGTCCTTTTGTTGTTCTGTTTATGTTTTTAATGTTTCATGTGGAACCTACTTGAGCAGGTCTCCCTTGAAAAAGAGGTCAATGATCTCAATGGGATACAACCTGGATAAATAAAGGTTTGAAATGAAATGAAATTAATGTTTTTAAAAAGTGTGCTATATTGCCTGTTGGTTTCTCTGACCACTCCCTTGTATTGTGTGATGTTTTTATTGCCAACATAAAAAGCAAATCTGCGTATTGGCATTTTAACACTGCTCTGCTTTTGGATACACATTTTAGAGAGGTTTTTATTTATTTTTGGAAAGGTTTTAGAGAAAGGAAGGGGGATTTTAACTCATTGAAGCAGTGGTGGGATTGTGGGAAAGCCGACATCAAGCAGCTTTGTCTTCAGTACACTCTCAATGTTTCTCGTGACATCACCAAGTCTATGAGAGATCTGGAGATGGAAATAGTGGAACTGCAGAGCTTTGCAGAGTCCACAGGAAATCCAGTTTGTATTGAAGACCTAAAATCTAAAAAAGCCATTTTGGCAGACAAGCTGGGTTCGAGAGCACAGGGGGCGCTGGGACGCAGAGACGGTAGACGCAAACAACAAGCTCGACTTTTGAAACTAGAGGAAGATAAGGAGGACTTTTACAAAAAAGTAATAGAGATTTTTGTCCAGAAGGATAGCATAGACTTCATCTTCAAGAAAAGGTAAGACCACATTTGAATTGAAAATTGGATCTTACTAAGAAAGAACAATCCAATATTTAAATGAAACTACATTTTTGGGGTATCCTTTTGTTGAACGGTCTGTTTAAAAAAATCAATCATCAGACTAAAAAAGCTTTTGAAAATAAAAATATTTCGATAAGTTTGAGAAACCGGCTCGAGATCGCTAGAATTTGAAAATACACAACCGGAGAAAATCTTCCACTTCCTTACAGAGCCCCTCCTCCAACACACACAAACGCGCACATGACCAATGAGGGCACGAAATAAGTTTGTGCACAGATGGAAGGCTGACAGGCAGGTAGGCCATCCAGTTATTTTAGCCGGGCCGGCTAAAATGATTGGTCGTGCTTTTTACAGTATTACAGCTTCCACAGATGACATTTTTTTATGGATTTTTTGTCAAAGCACTTCAGATATTCATTGCTATCGGGATGTTAAGAGCATTCCATGGAATATAACAAAAAGTGTATCTCGAGCCGGTTTCTCAAACTTACCTACCCCACCTTTAAGGTCAAAATATAATATTTGTAAATCGGGGGGGTCCAGGTGGATGGCAGCTCTGTCCTGATGATCTGCTGGGGTTAGGGGTCCTTCTCCAGCACCACGGGGGGTCCAGGTGGATGGCAGCTCTGGCCTGATGATCCGCTGGGGTTAGGGGTCCTTCTCCAGCACCACGGGGGGTCCAGATGGATGGCAGCTCTGGCCTGATGATCCGCTGGGGTTAGGGGTCCTTCTCCAGCACCACGGGGGGTCCAGGTGGATGGCAGCTCTGTCCTGATGATCCGCTGGGCACTTTTCAGATTAGGGGTCCTTCTCCAGCAGATCCATTTCTCCAGAATTTTACGAATTACAGAGAAAAACAAGAGAAAAAGAAAAAAGTGAATTAATCGTATTAAACACAGGATTGCAGAAGTATTATTACAAAATTTAACTCTAAGCATTTCAGACAAACAATCCCTAAAGGATCATTTAAAATTATGTACTGTTCTGGGTTTTAAAAAACTAAAGAGATTAAATGACAGTCACACTTGCATCCCTTTGACAGCACGGCACAAACTAACATCAAGCAAAAGGCTGCTGTCTATTTGTGATTGTCTTATTATTATGGGATTAGGATACATTAAATACAATTTAACCTTATAAAAGATGATCAAATCTGGTGGAAATATTTAAAATAGGCTTTTCTTTTAGCCCTACCTCAAAGCAGCATGAGCTGAACACAAAGGTTGTAATGTTGTCCCAAAGTTTAATAAACAGTAAAACATTGCAACATGTCAGAGAAGTAAATAAAGCTAACAGCAGCTACACGTCAGGGTAGCCTTTTATAAATCCCACCGTACTGTAGGCTATACCGGTCTAAATGTTTTCACTTTGGTCTATTTATGTAATATAAATTATAACTTATCTATAACAGAGCCAAGATCTCTGTATGACTTTGATAAACTTCTGAATTGAATTAAATATAAGTGTAAACAACAGTGCAG